GGAGGACGGAGGAGGGAGGACGGAGCACGGAGCATGGAGGACGGAGGACGGAGGACGGAGGACGGAGGCGTCGGAAGCCTGGGCGAGGCTGCTCCCTGCCGGCCTCCCGCCAAAGGCCACGGCGGGGCGCCCGGCCCGCGGCCGCGGGGCCGCGGGGAGGGCGCCCCTGCGCCGTGGCCTGGGAGGGGGAGGAACTCTGCGAGTCGGCGGCGAGGGAGGAGGAGGAGGAGGAGGAGGAGGAGGAGGAGGAGGAGGAGGAGGAGGAGGAGGAGGAGGAGGAGGAGGAGGAGGAGGAGGAGGAGAGGAGGAGGAGGCAGGAGGAGGAGGAGGAGGAGGAGGAAGGAGGAGCGAGGAGGAGGACGGAGGCGGGGGAGGAGGAGGAGGAGGAGGAGGAGGAGAACTCTGCGAGTCGGCGGCGAGGGCATCAAGTCGGGCAAGTCAACAGCTACATAACATAAATACGACAACCAAGGGGTGGATGTGGCATATGATGCAAATCTGTGGAAAAGTCTTGAGGACGGCTTTCTCGACTACATGGAGGACTTCCTTTCTCTCCCTCAAGAGTCTCCAGCATCCATCTCTCCGATTTCTGCTCGCAGCACGTCTTCTGAGGGCCCCGGCCCCCCCGCGCTGCCCTCGTAGGGCGGGTCCCGCTGGACCGACATCGCGCGCTCGTCTCTCGTCTCGTCTCTACAGGAGGAATAGCCAAAAGCAGTCAACAAAATTACGCTACCGAGGAACCCCACCTTGTATTGTGGCTGGAGTGATGATAGCTGAAGTGAAGCATGTGAGAATGATGTTGGTGGCCGTTGCCCCGCCGATACCGTTGGTGACGCCACTCAAGAGGAGAGGTGGAAGAGGAGAAGCGCCGCGTTCTGCGCCATGGCCCGCATAGACGCCGCGTTCGAGGACCACCCCCTGCGCACCCCCTGTGGTGTCGAGAATATGCCGTGCCTGCCACGCCCTGCGCCATGGCCCGCATAAACGCTCCGCTCGGGGACCATTCCCTGCGCACCCCCGGTGGTGTCGAGAATATGCCGTGCCTGCCACGCCCTGCGCCATGGCCCGCATAGACGCCTGCGCCTCGGAGACCACCCCCTGCGCACCCCCTACGAGGTCGAGAAAGTGCCACACCTGCCACGCCCTGCGCCATGGCCCGCACAGAGACGCCGCGCTCGGGAGACCACCCCCTGCGCACCCCCTACGGGGTGAGGAAAGTGCCACACCCTGCCACGCCCTGCGCCATGGCCCGCACCGCATAGACGTAGTGCTCGGAGACCACCCCCTGCGCACCCCCTACGGGGTGAGGAAAGTGCCACACCTGCCACGCCCTGACGCCAGCCCGCATAGACGCCGCGCTCGGAGACCACCCCCTGCGCACCCCCTACGAGGTCGAGAAAGTGCCACACCTGCCACGCCCTGCGCCATGGCCCGCATAGACGCCGCGCTCGGAGACCACCCCCTGCGCACCCCCTACGGGGTGAGGAAAGTGCCACACCTGCCACGCCCTGCGCCATGGCCCGCATAGACGCCGCGCTCGGAGACCACCCCCTGCGCACCCCCTACGGGGTGAGGAAAGTGCCACACCTGCCACGCCCTGCGCCATGGCCCGCATAGACGCCGCGCTCGGAGACCACCCCCTGCGCACCCCCTACGAGGTCGAGAAAGTGCCACACCTGCCACGCCCTGCGCCATGGCCCGCATAGACGCCGCGCTCGGAGACCACCCCCTGCGCACCCCCCTACGAGGTCGAGAAAGTGCCACACCTGCCACGCCCTGCGCCATGGCCCGCATAGACGCCGCGCTCGGAGACCACCCCCTGCGCACCCCCTACGCCCTGCGCCATCCCGCATAGACACACCCCTGCGCCTGCCCAGCGCCATGGCCCGCATAGACGCCGCGTTCGAGACCACCCCCTGCGCACCCCTACGGGGTGAGGAAGTGCCACACCTGCCACGCCCTGCGCCATGGCCCGCATAGACGCCGCGCTCGGAGACCACGCCCTGCGCACCCCCTACGAGGTCGAACATGTGCCACACCTGCCACGCCCTGCGCCATGGCCCGCATAGGCGCCGCGCTCGGAGACCACCCCCTGCGCACCCCCTACGGGGTTAGGAAAGTGCCACACCTGCCACGCCCTGCGCCATGGCCCGCATAGACGCCGCGTTCGGAGACCACCCCCTGCGCACCCCCTACGGGGTGAGGAGAGTGCCACACCTGCCACGCCCTGCGCCATGGTCCACATAGACGCCGCGCTCGGAGATCACCCCCTGCGCACCCCCTACGAGGTCGAGAAAGTGCCACACCTGCCACGCCCTGCGCCATGGCCCGCATAGACGCCGCGCTCGGAGACCACCCCCTGCGCACCCCCTACGAGGTCGAAAAAGTGCCACACCTGCTGCGCCCTGCGCCATGCTGTGATGTGCAGCTGTGTGCTGTGCTGAGCTTTGCTAGGCTGTGCTGTGCTGTGCTGCGCTGCGCTGCGCTGTGTTATGCTGTGCTGCTTGAGAAGGAGAGGGGGCAGGGAGGGAGGCGAGGTGAGAGCCGCGGGTGCGACGCGTGTGGGTGAGGAGAGGAGAAGAGGGAAGAGGGGAAGAGGGAGGTGAGTGAGTGAGTGAGCGTCGCGGGTCGCGGGCGCGGCGCGCGAAGGAGGAGACGCGGGTGCGCCGCGGCAGAGAAGAAAACCATAACCCCACCAAGCATGTGGGGAAATAGTCAGGGGACGATGCTTCCCTCATTTTTGGAGCATTTTTGATTCTTTTCTGGCTACTTCTAATTTTTCCTCCCAAATCCGCCTGTAGGGGGACATGCCCGACCTAACGCTAGCGGAAAGGCCTAGACGGGGGTGCCGTCAGGGCAAGTTGTGCCACCATGCAGGGGGGAAGGGGAAAAGCGAGGGACGCGGCCGAAAGAGGGGGCGGAGGTAGCGAGCCGCTCAGAGGAACGGGTCACGCCCCGAGCGAGTGGCGCGGCCAGCCCCGCCGGCGGGCCCGCGGCGGCTGCTGCACCAGGGGGCCAGCGGCGGCGGGGGGCAGTGCGGGGGTGGGTACCACCCTGAGAGGAAAGAACACACAGACACAATGAATCGTCGACTCCCGGGAAAGCATACGGGAAACCATGGGCAGTGAGTGGGGGGGAAGACGAAGTCACAGAGGACATATGATATAGGAGGAGGAGGAGGAGGAGGAGGAGGAGGAGGAGGAGGTGGAGGAGGAGGAGGAGGAGGAGGAGGAAAAAGGGGGCATCCTGGGATTTGTGCCTATTTGTCTGCGTGCTTCCCGGACCCTTTCGTGGCGTGTGCTGCTGCGGCCTGGGGGGGGGGGGAAGGAAGGTCGGGCACCCAGGGGGCGGCAGCGCGGGCCGCGGGGTTGGCCGCTCGCGCAGTGAGCTCCGAGGAGGAAGGGGCACAGCCGGCCGGGATTCAATCCTGGCCGACTTACATGCTGCTCGCGTCGTCGTCGTCGCTCGTCGCTCGTCGCTCGTCGCGTCGTGCGCGCGGGCGCGGCTGTGGTGCCGGAGCCACTCGGCGGGGGGGGCGTCACGTCATATCCCCCCCCCGCCTTCCCCCCCCCATGACGCCCGTCATCGCCGAACATAAAGAAACGCGCTCTTGGGAGGCCGAGCATATGATTGCGAGACCTCCTCCCGAACAGCTGGGCCAGCGTTTCTTGGCCCACTTGCCAGAAAGCCGGCCCAGTCTCTTGAGCACGTTCGCCCCTCCAGCGTGAACAAAAAGTCGCCCCAGGTTTTCGACCCTTCAAGGGTACCCTTGTGTCTTGTGGTCCTCGGAAGGACCTTGTGTCCTGTCGCGTGTCCTCTCCAATCAAGTCCGACTGTACCGTCGGCCACGCGCAGAGGGGGGTAGGGGGAGGGGGGGAGGCTTCTTGGAAGGCGCGGGCCTTGTCTGTAGATGTGGGGCCGGCGCCTTCTAAGAAGCAGCCTCCTTCTGAGAAGCCTTCCCCCTGCCCCTGCCCCCGTGTGCGCGCCGCCAAAACAGGTACCCATGCTGCCACTCTCCCTTTGTTTTTCCCCTTCTCGGGCCTCCTGGGAGGCCCTCGTCGCCACCGCTGGATTCGCCCCGAAATTCTGGTCAGAACGCACCACTATCGGGGGAGCGTAAGACCCGGGTTTGCCAGGACTCGGGTTCGCCATCGTTTTTTGACGACCGCGCCTCGGATTTTGACGAGGAGGAGTTTCGTGGGATGTCTGCAGCGGGAGGCCTCGTCAAAATGCAGGCTCGGCCTCGTCATTTTTTTGACGACCTCGTCGGGGATTTCCGAGTCCCCTGTGCCCAGGTCTTACGTCCCCCTGACACCAGAGAGATCCAGGGCTCAGCGGCATCAGCACCTCTCCTGGTTTCCCCACGAGCGTCGTGGCGGGCAGGCGGAGGGCGCCCACTGCGCATAGCGGGTGCGCGACGCGAGACACCGGCCTGCCAGCAGGTCCCCCCCACGGAAATGCCCTATCCCAAGATGGCCATCGGGAGCCCAGGTAAAACGACGCGAAGATCGGGACAAAATCGGATCGGGATAACTCGTAACCTCTGAGAATCGGCGGGTTTGGAGGATGTATTGGGCGCCGCGGCCGCTCCAGAGCGTTCCGGAACGCTCTGAGAGCGCTCCGGAACGCTCTGGAGCGATTTATCCCGATCCTAGCCCTGTTTTACCAGGGAAGCCCTGGAGCAGCTCAGGAGATCCAGGGATCGACGAGGAATGCCTCAAGGTTGGCCGTCTCAGAGTTTCTGAGATCGCGCGCCCGAGCCGTTTGGAGCCGTTTTGCCTCGTGCCCTTGCGGCAGAAGTTTTTGGGCCGCAGCCGGAAGAGGAAGGCCGACTCGTACGCCGAGGGCGCCGGAGGATGCACAGCGCCGCCGCAGTCGCACTCGCCGCATGGTCGCCCACGGCCGCGCGTGCGGGTGCGTCGCGGGCGGGCCCCAGCGGGCCTCCGCAGGGAGGGCCAGTCTGGCGGTCGTGCCCAGCGCCTCCTGGAGGAGCGCAGCGCAAGGCCACCACGCACCAAGCCACCCCAGCCCGAGCCGAAGGCGGCAATTTGCCCTCCCTTTCCAGTTGGGAGGGGGGGGGGGGTCGGAGAGCATTGAGAAGCACACACGAAGCCCGTGCCCCCCCCCCCCCCGCCCGCGATTCGGGTCTTCGGGTTGGGTTGGGGTGGTCTGGTAGGTGGTCAAAAAGGTCGTCTCCTTCGCCGCGGCTCCAGAGTGTTTCGGCCCCGCCGACCCCGCAGAGGAGCTCGTCCAGGCCCCGCCGGGCGGCGAGGGCGCCGACAGCGGCGCGAGGCTGAGCTCTCCCGCCGCGGGCGGAGGCTGGCTGGGAGCTCCGGCGGTCTGGCAGGAGGGCGTGCCAGACAGGGCAGCATCGGCTGCGTTCGGCGGCGCCAGTGGGCCCGCAGGTGCGCAGCAGGAGCAGGAGGATCAGTATCGTTGATCCGATTCCCCATCCCCATCCCCTTCGAGGCCCCCAGCAAATTACTCCTCCAGTCGGGGAGACACCCCTCGAGACCCGAAGAGAACGACCTGTATCCCCATCTAGGGGGGGTAAGTCGGCCAGTGGGGCCCAGGCCACGCCGCTGGGGATGGGGATCGGTTAAACGATACTCAGGAGGAGGAGGACGCCGCATTGGCCGAGATCGAGGCGTTCGCCGACGAGCAGGCCCGGCGATTCGCACCTCTGGTTGACAAGCGGCGCGCGCGCCGGACGGCGACTGTCAGCATCGGCCGCGCGAAGCGGGCGGACGGCATCAGCTTCCAAATGGAGTCCTCCGCCCTGTGGCAGCGCAGAGGGGTGACTGGGAGTGGCCTGGGGGCCCTCGGCTGCGTGCTCGGGTGAGTTTCCCCGTGGGTATTTACGGGAAGCGGCCTTCCGAGGGTGGGGCCAACGCTTTGCCCCCGACCAGTGGCAGAGGACAGAGCAGCACAAGCGGGATTGCATCCACAGTCTGTCGATCGAGAACGTTTTATCTTTATAACACTTTGCAGCGGACCTTGAGCTAGGGCCGCGGTTCAGTGTGCAGCCCCGCATGTGATTCGGGCTCCCTCGCGTCCTGTTGCCCCCCTCCTCGCTCTCCCACCTTTCCCCTTCTCCCGGGCCTATCCCTGAGCCGACGTCTGGCTGGCTGAACCCCATCGCAGATGAGGCCGCTTGGGCCGTCTGGCCTGTCCCAGACGATGAGGAGGTCGAAATCGTCCAGGGTCATGCGGCGCTTTGCGCCTCTCACTCTCACCCTGAGCGGAGGCCTCGACGCAGTCACCAGCGGCGCCGGCATGCTGCTGGGCCGTCTGTCTTGTGACAAGTGCGGGGCCTCGCCCGGCAGATGCGGCGAAAGCATGGCCGCCCGCGCATCAGAGCCAGCGAGCCCTCGTGCAGAGCAGAGCACCTGGCCCCGCGCGCCTCTCTTGGCCCGGAGGGCCTGGCGCGAGCGTCAGCAGCAGACCCGCCTACAGAGTTTGAGTCACGGCGCGTACTGTACAGTACCTTGTGACAAGGGCGGGGCCTTCTCGTGCGCCATGTGTATGAAAACGAGGCGTTGTGCCGAGGTGCGCGGGCGCAGCCTGGAGAGGCCTTCGGGCCTTCGGCAAGCCACGGCGCTTACTTGCTTTACCCCTTGTACTTTGTGGCCGATCAGGTGGGCCTCACTCTCCCCAGGTCAATCGCGAGCGGAAGCCCGCGATAAATGTGTCTCTTGCTCGCTGGAGGAAGCTGGACGCGTCTGCAGAGTATGTTCACCCTCTCTGCTCCAAGATGTCGGCTTGATTTTGTGAAGCAAGGGGAGTTTGTGCTGCAGCAGTCTTCCGAAGTCTCATGGTGGGGAGTCTTGCGGCTGGAGCTCCCAGAAGGAATCGGAGGTGAAGGAGATGGGGAAGGCGAGTCGGATGGGGCTGGGAGGAGTCTCCTGTGGAGCTTGCGACAGCTTGCAGTTTTCGTAAGTCTCATTTTAGCTGGGGTTCGGTAGCGTGGAACAAGAGGGGGTGGATTTGAGCCCCCCTGCAGCATCACCCTTGTTGTTAAGATAAGCAGGGGGTCGAATGATCACGTCTGTACGCTACCGAATGCCAGTTGGGGGAAGATGTGGATGCAGCACGGGCCGCCGCGATGACACCGGCTGCGGAAGTACACGCCGTCGTCGTAACAGCGCCTCTCCCTGGGAGCCAAATGCACCCAATGCGCACAACCATGGACGACCTCACGACTGACGATAAGGTCCGTTCAAAAAGAACGTGGTGATGTACAAAATGAATTCGCCATGCACTTTACCGAATGCCCGTTTGGGACTCGGCCGCCGCACGGGCGTTTCTAATCAGGGAAATGCATTGCGGCGGTCTCCGTGGGCATAGCACACGTCTTTGAAGCCCGCCATGATATGCATGCCCGCACGTATTTGTATGATCCCCGAGCGCGCTTGTCTCAGCGTGGGCCCCGTTCGCCCGTCCTCTCCTCCGCCCGGTCGTCCTCCTCCTGCTCCTGCGGGCGACGCCCAGAGACGGGAGCTGCGCGCCTCGCCCGCTGCCCGCGGCGGAGGCATGCGCGGAGCCTCGCGCCGCGGGTGCCAGAGCATGTCAGGCGTCTGCGCAGGCAGGGAGGGGTGCCTCGACGTGGCCGCCGGTGCGCCCGCCACGCTGTTGTGCGGAAGCCGCCGCCTGCCCCGTGGCCTGCGCGGAGCCTCGCGCCGCAGGCGCGAGAGCATGGCGGGCGTCTGCGCAGGCAGGGACGGGTAAGAGGAGGAGGAGGAGGCGGAGGAGGAGGCGGAGGCGGAGGAGGAGGCGGAGGAGGAGGAGGAGGAGGAGGAGGAGGAGGAGGAGGAGGAGGAGGAGGAGGAGGAGGAGGAGGAGCGAAGAGGAGGAGGAGGAGGAGGAGGAGGAGGAGGAGGAGGAGGAGGAGGAGGAGGACGAGGAGGAGCGAGGACGAGGAGGAGGAGCGAGGAGGAGGAGGAGGAGGAGGAGGAGGAGGAGGAGGAGGAGGTCCTGACCACATGCTGGTCCTGGAGAGGCACTCCCGTGTCCCCTCAGGGTTCAGCCGGGCACGTCCCTCTACAGGAGGAATATGCAGAAGTAGTAAAAAAGTACTCTGGGGACGGTTTTCCGAATATCTTTTGGCCATGCTTGAAGATTTTTGGTCAATTTTTGATTTTTTGTCCAAAATCCGCCTGTAGAGGGACATGCCCGACCTAACCTCAGGGATATGTCCGAGCTGCGCGATAAGGAGTGCCCAAGCCCCCCCCTCCCAGGGGCAAAGCACTGCATAAAGCGCACTCGCGGAGCTCGTGTATTTTTTAGCCTTGAGTCGGGCCTGTCCCTATACAGGAGGAATATCCAAGAACAGTCCAAAAATAGTCCGGGGCGATGTTTTTACTCCTTTTGACCATTTTTGGTTATTTCTTTGGGTGTGTTTCAATTTTGTCGCCCCACCTCCGCCTGTGGGGGGGCGTGCCCGGCCTGATTCTAGCCCTGCGGCGGGGCAATGACCTTCCCGTGCTCCCGATGCGACCCCCGCCGCCGCCTCCGTCGCAGTCCCGCTTCCGAGGGCCACGGCCGTGCTCCGGAGACCTGCCGTGTCTTCCTCGCTCCTCGCGGTGGCCCAGTTCCTTCCCGGGGCCGCGCGCGGCGGACGGCGGAGAGGGGGGGGGAAACAAGAACGCTCCCGTCACCTCTTGGCATCGCTCGGACGTGTGCATTTTTCCTCGGCGAGGACCATCGAGGAGCATCCTTGATCATTTGGCGAAAAAACCACGCACAAAACCGAACAAAAACACTGGGAATGGACGTCCGAGCGATGGCCAGACATTCCCCTCCTTCGGTAGCGAATCATGGGAGCCTCGCGTGCCCTCGCAGTTCCGTCTTTGGGGTGCACTGGCGTCGATCTAGCGCTTGAGAGTCGGTGAGATAGCGCCGACTTAGCATCACTTAGCGTCAATGTAGCGTCGATTCAGCGTCTATTAGCGTCGACGTCGCGTCGATCCGCAAGAGCCAACGAGACGGTATGGAAGCCTCCGATGAGTTGCCACCGAACTCTCTCACTCTTGAACACTCTCGTTTCCCCATCCTCAGCTTGAAGGTTTCACCCCGCAGGGTTGCAGCAGGCATGTCGACGTTGCGACAGCCATGTGCTTTTTTCTCCTGCGCCTCGCGGTTGTTTCTTTCGAACCGCCTGGACGGTGCGACTCGTCGCTTCGCGACGCTGTGCCATGGCATTGGCAGTTGCCGCCGCAGCGGAGTTGGCGTGGCGCCTTCTTTCCCTCACCCTCCTTACCTAGGGGGACGAAGAATGACATAAACATAAAAACTCGGAGGTCCGCGCGGATTTCTCGGATCCGCGCGAAGCTCCGAGATTTTATGTTTATGTCATTCTTCGTTCTCCTATGATCTCGTCCTCCCTCTGCGCCACCTCCTCGACTACTCGCCTGGCTGCGGCCTGTGGCGCGGCGTGGTGCAGCAACTGATGATCCTGCGTTTCGGGATAGATAGGCTTGTCGAGCAGGAGGCGCGGAAGGCGTTCGACCAGTAGGGTGACTGCCCTCAGCACGGACCGGCGCGATGGGCGATACAGTGGGGGCGCGCATCAAGAAGCCATATGCTTTTCGTCGGGGTATCCTTGGTTTCTTGGCTCCTCGCGCTGCGCGGTGACTTCCCGCAGCCGGTGAAGGAGCTGCTGCGTTCAGGGTGCTCCGGGCTTCCCCCTCAGGTGCACCTCGCGCACGGGTTCTCAGGGTTAGGTTTCTTTCGAGGGTTTCTTGCGACCGCGCCCGCACTGCATCTCTGCGTATCGGCTTACGGTGCGTCGATCCTCATCCTCCCAACCCCATCCTCCCCTCGCCTCTCCTTGCTCCTGGCGCAGCGCCGATTCGTATCGTCATAACCACCCGGATTTACGCCTCACTGACTGTCTTTGGCCTTGCCCGAGTCTAGAGGCATGGTCTAGTTCCCCGATTCGTGGGTTTCAGTCCTCCTGTTCCCCCTCGACCGCTCACCGGGGCAATGATTGCCACAGGTAGTTACTGTTGTTAGCGTCTGTCTGTCTAGGGGGCCAGGACGTGTCCGCGCAGGCCGGCAAGCAACAACAGGCTCATGGCAGCACCCCTGGAGCCTCGCGGTTGTTCCATGCTTTCCTTCCTCGACAGACCAGCGCACGTCGCGCCGACCAAAGACAAATTCTGATCGTATGTGTCTACTGCATACTCGCACCGATTGCCGTGGCGGGACGTCGGATGGCGCCAACTGCCCAGATCTCCTACGATCGTTTTTTTTCCAGTCCGAGCGGCGATGCTCCTCGATTTCGGCCTCTGGGGCCCGTGGTCGAGCCCTGGGGCCCTCAAAAATGGAGCCGGAGTGGACAAGCACGCCCGGCCAGGGGTCGGGGCCTCTGGGGACGCGCCCTGATCAGATCGGATCGGTGGATGTCAGGGCGCACGCCTGAGCTGACCCCGGCCAGGCCCGCCCCAGGCCCAGTGATCGGTGCGCGCGCGCGTGTGTGTGCGTGCGTGTGTGTGTCTGTGTGTGTGTGCGTGTGTGTGTGTGTGTGTGTGTGTGTGTGCGTGCGTGCGTGCGTGCGTGCGTGCGCGTGCGTGCGTGCGTGCGTGCGTGCGTGGGTGGGTGGGTGGGTGGGTGGGAATGTGTGTGTGTGTGCGTGCGTGTGTGTCCTTCCGCCGAGGCCAGGAGATGGCGGATGCACTGATCCTGGGGTCGGTGTGGGCGCAAAGTTGGCGCCCTCGCAGGGCTGGGCCCGATGCCTGGCGGCCGATCGCCAATCGCCTCAGCTCTCCGCCAGGATTTGCCATTGCTAGTCCCTGTCGATGCACCATGACGCGCGCTGCGATTATTGTTCTCGGGATTGTTGTTATTATCAGTATCAGTATCAGTCTGATGATTATTATTCTTTTTACTAATATTATTAGTGTTATAAACATTAATATATTTTTCTTTATTATCACCACTATTTTATTATTTTTATTATTATCATTCGGAGGTGAGGGGGTGAGGTCGAAGTGGAACGGAGAGCCCCCCTACCGGGAAGTCGATTTCGGTTTCGTGCTCGTGCGTGCCGTGCGTGCGGGCGAGGCGAAACTGCGTGGGCGGGCGAGAGGAAAGTCTCCTGTGGCTGAGGCGCGGCCGGACCAAATGACTCCCTTCCGGCAAGCGGTGCCGCGCGGTGTCCCGCCAGTGTCCCGCTGTGGCTGAGGCACGGCCGGACCAAATGACTCCCTTCGGGCGTCCAGTGGCCCGCGGTGTCCCGCCGGTGTCCCGCCGGTGTCCCGTCGGTGTCCCGATGATGACGGTCATGATGACGATGACGACGATGATGATGATTATGATGACGATCATGATGATGGTGATATGATGTTGACGATGTTGATGATGATGGTGTCCCGATGTTGATGATGCTGATGTTGGTGATGATGATGGTGTCCCGATGATGATGATGATGATGATGATGATGATGATGATGATGTTGATGATCCTGATGATGACGAGATGATGAGATGATGATGATGATGATGATGAAGATGATGATGATCATGGTGTCCCGATGCTGATGCTGTTGATGATGATGGTGATGATGATGATGATGGTGTCCCGAAGATGATGATGTTGATGATGATGGCGATGATGTGTCCCGATGATGATGATGTTGATGATGAGGAGGAGGATGAGGTGATGATGCTGATTTTGATGATGGTGGCCCGATGATGATGATGCTGATGTTGATGATGATGGTGTCCCGATGATGATGATGGTGGTGGCGATGATGATGTTGCTGCTGATGATGATGGTGACCCGATGATGATGATGTTGATGATGTTATCCATGATGATGGTGATGAGATGATGATGGTGGTGTTCCGATGCTGATGATGATGTTGGTGCCCCGATGATGATGATGATGTTGATGGTGATGGTGGTGACGATGATGGTGTCCCGATGATGATGATGATGGTGAAGATGATGATGTTGATGGCGATGGTGTCCCGATGATGATGATGATGATGATGATGGTGGTGTCCCGATGATGATGATGATGATGATGATGATGATGAGGTTGATGTCGTTGATTTCGATGATGTTGATGATGATGATGATGATGATGCTGATGGTGATGATGATGATGATGACGTTGATTGTGATATCGATTGTGATATCGATAATGAGATCGATAGTGAGACCGAATGCGAGATCGATAGTGAGATCGATAGTGAGATCGATAGTGAGATCGATTGTGAGATCGATAGTCAGATCGATTGTGAGATCGATCGAATCAAATAGATCGAGTGAGATCGATTGCGAGACCGATCGAGTGAGATCGATCGAGCGAGACCGATCGTGAGATCGATAGTGAATTCAATAGTGAGACCGACCGAGTGAGACGTTGGTTCCTCCCCCCCGAATTTCCTTATCACCCGAAGGGTGGTCATATAGGTAGTAGTAGTAGTAGTAGTCGTAGTAGTAGTAGTAGTAGTAGTAGTAGTAGTAGTAGTCGTAGCAGTAGTAGTAGTAGGAGCAGTAGTAGTAGTAGTAGTAGTAGTAGTAGAAGTAGTAATAGTAATAGTAACAGCAGTCGCAGTAGTAGTAGTAGTAGTAGTAGTAGTAGTAGTAGTAGTAGTAGTAGTAGTAGTAGTAGTCGTAGCAGTAGTAATTGTAGGTAGTAGTAGTAGTAGTAGTGGTAGTAGTAGTAGTAGTAGTAGTAGTAGTAGTAGTAGTAGTGTTAGTTGTAGTAGCTGTTGTAGTAGTAGTAGTAGTAGTAGTAGTAGCAGTAGTAGCAGTAGTAGTAGTAGTAGTAGTAGTTCCAGTAGTAGTAGTAGTAGTAGCAGTAGTAGTAGTAGTAGTAGTAGTAGTAGTTGTAGTAGTAGAAGTTGTAGTAGTTGTTGTTGTTGTTGTTGTTGTTGTTGTTGTTGTTGTTGTCTTCTTGCTATTAGTTCCCATCCTCTATGTTAGTGCTATTCCTCAGTACGGGTAGGCATATTCTCATGACTGCTCCTACTGCTCGTGTTCTCTAATGGCATTCGGCCAATCCCGTCACCGTGCCTGGGTTGTGGGTCAGAGTTCTCAGGGATGCTTCTTGGGGTCTCTTCGGAGCGCTCTCGGGGACCTCTTGGGGGCAGTTTTGGGGCCTCTTGGGAGCCTCTTGAGGGCCTCTTGGGGCTTCTTGGGGGCTTCTTGGTGGCCTCTTGGGGCCTCTTGGGGCCTCTTGGGAGCCTCATGGGGGCCTCTCGGGGCCGAGGGCTCGAAATGTCCATCGGGACTCCCCATCTGGGACCCCTCTTGGGCCCTCTTGGGCGCCGCTGGGACCGTCTTTGGGCCGTCTTGAGGCCCTCCTGGGGTCCTCTTGGGCTG